CAGGGGAGAAGCCATATAAATGCATGGAGTGTGGAAAGACCTTTGCTCAAAAACGTCATCTTATTTCCCATAAGAGGATCCACACAGGGGAGAAGCCATATAAATGCATGGAGTGTGGAAAGACCTTTGCTCAAAAACGTCATCTTATTTCCCATAAGAGGATCCACACAGGGGAGAAGCTGTATAAATGCATGGAATGTGGAAAGACCTTTGCCTATGACAGTGGCCTAAGAAGACATAAAAGGATCCACATAGGGGAGAAGCCATATAAATGCATGGAGTGTGGAAAGACCTTTGCTCAAAAACGTCATCTTATTTCCCATAAGAGGATCCACACAGGGGAGAAGCTGTATAAATGCATGGAATGTGGAAAGACCTTTGCCTATGACAGTGGCCTAAGAAGACATAAAAGGATCCACATAGGGGAGAAGCCATATAAATGCATGGAATGTGGAAAGACCTTTGTTCATAAAGATTATCTTATTCGTCATAAGATGATCCACACAAGGGAGAAGCCATATAAATGCATGGAGTGTGGAAAGACCTTTGCTCATAAAGATTATCTTATTCGTCATAAGATGATCCACACAAGGGAGAAGCCGTATAAATGTATGGAGTGTGGAAAGACCTTTGCTCATATCAGTTACCTAAGAAGTCACAAAAAAATCCACGCAGGGGTGAAGCCATATAAATGCATGGAGTGTGGAAAGTCCTTTGCTCAAGAACGTTATCTTATTTCTCATAAATGGATCCACACGGGGAAGAAGCTGTATAAATGTAGGGAATGTGGAAAGACTTTTGCTTATAACAGTAGCCTAAGAAGTCACAAAAAAATCCACGCAGGGGTGAAGCCATATAAATGCATGGAGTGTGGAAAGTCCTTTGCTCAAGAACGTTATCTTATTTCCCATAAATGGATCCACACAGGGGAGAAGCCGTATAAATGCATGGAGTGTGGAAAGACCTTTGCTCATAACAGTGCCCTAAGAAGACACCAAAGGATCCACATGGGGAAGAAGCCATATAAATGTATGGAGAGTTGAAAGACCTTTGCTCATAACGATGCCCTAAGAAGACACCAAAGGATCCACACGGGGGAAAAGCCGTATAATTGCATGGAGTGTGGAAAGACCTTTGCACAAAGAAGTAATTTTATTTCCCATAGGAGGATCCACACGGGAGAAACTTATTTCAAGCCTAGTTAGAGGCAGATGTAGTGTCAGCGTTCCAAATATCATCCAGAAATAAATCAGAGTCCAAGGCAGAACTATCCTTAATCTTCCAATTTAATAAGAGAGACATGTTGATACATCTGTGGCAATCTCGAATCTGAAAGCTTCCTGGGATTCGCACCCAGTTGATAATTCATGATCTTGTCCCTAGACCCATAAATCCATCACTTGGTCCAATGTTCTTCTGCCATGCTGGGCATTTCCACCCATCTAGTTCCGGTCAGATGCAGAGGTGCGGAGAGAAAAGATGACCTTGGGCTTCTAGAAAGGAATTTTTTATTTTGAAAACAAACACATTCTACTCCTTACCACTCTCCCCTCCCAATTGCCCACTAATGAAAAGCATAGTAAAGAAAGAGAGACAAAGTGTGGCAGGACAAAGATTCTTTAAGGAATATGACTGCAGGCCTGACATGTAGGGTCTCCTGCTGGGCAGGGGGTTGGATTAGATGACCTGGAAGCTTTGTAATTGTTCTGCTTTGGTCTCGGTATGGACCAAAATGTTATCTAAATAAATCAAGACAACATCATACAAATGCGCATGTAGCACCATTTGTTAATTGCGGGGGGCCCTTGTAGCCCAAATGGGAGCACTTTGACTTGGTAGCACTCAAGAGAGGTGTTAAATGCCGTTTTCATTCCTCCCCCTCTTTAATTCTGATGTGGNTATAAATGCATGGAGTGTGGAAAGACCTTTGCTCATAACAGTGCCCTAAGATCTCACCAAAGGATCCACACAGGGGAGAAGACATATAAATGCATGGAGTGTGAAAAGACCTTTGCTCGAAAAGGTTCCCTTATTTCCCATATGACATTCCACACAGGAGAGAAGCCGTATAAATGCATGGAGTGTGCAAAGACCTTTGCTCGAAAAGGTTACCTTATTTCCCATAAAAGGATCCACACAGGGGAGAAGCCATATAAATGCATGGAGTGTGGAAAGATTTTTGCTCAAAGCAGTGGTCTTATTTCCCATAATATGATCCACACAGGGCAGAAGCCGTATAAATGCATGGAGTGTGGAAAGACCTTTGCTCATAATAGTAAGCTAAGAAGACACCAGAGGATCCACACAGGGGAGAAACTGTGAGTTCAATCGTAGTTAGAGGCAAACGTAGTGTTAGCGTTCCAAATATCAACCAGATATAAATCAGAGTCAAAGGCAGAACTAACCTTAAACTTCCAATTTAATAAGAGAGACATGTTGATACATCTGTGGCAATCTCGAATCTGAAAGCTTCCTGGGATTCCCATCCAGTTGATAATTCATGATCTTGTCCCCAGACCCATATAACCATCACTTGGTCCAATTTTAATCTGCCACGCTGGCATTTCCACCCATATAGTTCCTGTCGGATGCAGAGGTACGGAGACAAAAGATGACCTTGGGCTTCTAGAAAGGAATTTCTTATTTTGAAAACAAACATTCTACTCCTTACTACTCTCCCCTCCCAATTCCCCCTAATGATAAGCATAGTAAGAAAAGAGAAACAATTTGACATTTTCCAAAATTTCCATCACAAATTGAGTTATATGCCTCTTCAGACGATCTTCTCTCAGTGATGCTTTGTTTAGTTCCTCCTGGTCAGATAGTGCTTCTATCTCCAATTTCCACCCGGTTTTCGGTTACCCCGGGTGAGGGTGACTCCTCTGGTCCTCCCATCCCAGCTTACCTTCGTCCTGATGCCGATCGAGCAGCAGGGCTTTTTGGGGTCCTCTGGGGTCACCTCATCCTGTTTGACAGGGTACAGGGAGCAGATCTCCAGTTGGGGGTGGGGGTTAACATTTCCCTGCGTCATTCAGCTTCACCCTGCTCACTGTTTTGCTCAGACATGGTTTTCAGGGTCCCCTCAGTAGAGCAAAGATTGCTACTTCAAGTTGACCATTTTGCAGATGTTGCTTTCTATAAGGAGTGCCCCCCCTGCTGCTTAAGAAAATGAAGACTCTTGAAACAATGTATTTCAAAAAGAACCTTTTATTAAGTGGAAGTGAAAACATCCAGTTCAAAGCAACATCTGAATCCCCTTAGGCAAGGCAGATAGAATTAAAGCAGTAGAGACCCCTCTTAGATAGAATGCAGATTGTAGCCAATGTAGCTTCATCACTGGAGGCTTTCAAGGAGAGATTGGACTCTCATTTGTCAGAAATGGTGTAGAGTCTCCTGCTTG